TCGATGAGGCTCAGAGGATCCCATTCCCGTTCCAGGGTGAAGGCATCTTACACCAAACAAGACTTTTTATATTACCCCAATGCATCATTATTGCCAAAATTATAGAGCTAAACGTGTGAGTCATTTTTACAAAAAAAAAAAAAGGTTATGAATATTGATAAACTCTTGCTAGAAATTTACTCTTCCAGCATCATTAAGGATAAACACGAAGATTTCCTAGAATATCTCGAATTACGTAGGATAAAATAGGAATTTTAGGAGCTAAACAGCTGTTACGAATGTGGACAAGTGATAAAAATCCTAGAGAAGTTACGTATCATCACATAATGAAGCTTTAGAGTAATTTGGCCCTTCTAATATCCTAGCAAAACATAAAATATGTCGGTGAAAATTTTCAGCTCGCGCTTAATTTGTTAAGATGGAAAATTTATTTTCGAAATAAAATGAAGAGGTAAAGAGTGTAGGTAGATGATATACAGGAGCTGTCAGCTAATGTTCAAATTATAATATGTAAAAGCAGATAAGACAACAAGAATAATCTAGCAAATAAATTGTAAAAGAACGGAGCGAGAGTGAGAGAGAGAGAGAGAGCAAGTTTTGTAAATGAAAGAACATTAACCGGAACTTTTTAATAAAAACTTTACAATTATCCACCTTGAAAAATGCCTCTTCTCTTTATCAATATTTGAAAAATGGATGCGGGATGCACCGCATCTGTCCGTTTTAAGAAATTCTCGAAGCTGTTGTCTTATTTAATAACGGCTTCAACTATTTCTCTCGTATTTCTTTATACCCTTTTTCTTGGCAAAGCGAAAAGAAATTGAATTGTCAAGATAACGGCGCAACGTCTAAAAGTATTTGTGGGATTTCATTGTACAGATGCTAACCAATTTATTCTATTCTTGGAAAATGCATAATTTCAAACTATTCTTTACATTCTCGGGGCTCAATTAATAAGTAAAAATGGGTAATTTTTTTTCAAGTTTCCAACGTGACATTCGTCAAACGGGATCAAAACGGTGATTAAATGCATTGGTTGTGGCTTAGTTGTAGGCGTATAATTCTGTACAATTTATTGATTGCTCATCTTCTCGCTCGTATGAAGAGAGCAACAAACGTGGCATAGTTTAGAGTTGTTAACTGTGAATGAAAGATTTACGGTTGACAAGTAAAAGCGCAGAAAGGAGCGAGAATGCTACTAAAAGAGCTCGCAATATCCCCTACTGCAATAATGACAGTTTAACAATCCAAATACATTATTTGCTGGCATGGAGGTTGGAAGAGCTTTAACGATGCCGGAGTGCACCTACATTAGTTTTTTTTTTTCTTTCTTTTTTTTTCTTCCCCTGATAAAAATAGGCGGTTCTTGTAACGTCACAATGGATGCCGTGTTAAAGTTGTGTCATAGTAAAGTGTGTATTCTCCTTTACTCTGCAGGGAAGGTGGTGATGTGGAATGACCCGTGCGTGTCCCACTGGGGATAGAGGCTCGTGTCCATAGACCCGGTGCTAAAAATCGATTCGGATCCCCTCCCCTTATAAAAGGTCTTTCGCTTCATTATCCATCAACTCGCACATTCTTTCACCACTTTTCCGGTTAAAACTGAGCATTTTTCACCATTTAAAAGTAAAAAAATCATTATACCCAACATTAATTTATCAACTTTTATTCATAAAAATGAATGAAATTCTGTACCTTTGGCGCAAATTAACCTTCAACGGGATCAAAGTTAAGACAGCGATGAACACTTTAACTTAACATTTAACTGATGTTGATAATGAAGAAATCGGGGAAATTTAATTAATCAAATTGCTAAATAACGTTTGCTTTTGTCCATAAATTAATCTTGTTAATGAGAATAAAGATTTTACCAAGTCAGGAAAACGATGATGAATTTTATGTAAATAAAATTTTAAATTAATTTAATATATTAATAAATAGAAAAGGGAAGAAGAAGAAGAAAAGGAAGAGCAACATTCGTTGATAGAGAATTTATTCCAATAAAATATAGGAAAATAAATGTATTTACTACGAATTTTGATTTTTGTAAATTCTGAATTTTATCATTCATCATATATAAAAAATAAAATAATAAAGGAATGGGGTTTGCAGTTTGTTGAATGCCTCCCCCATAATGAAGTTAGCTGTGGTCACGTCTTGTCTTTAGTTGTGCACGAGTACCGTTCCAAATAGAAATTTCTCAGAAAATAACAGAGTTGTAGATAAATTGAAAGATCTTTTATGTCAGAAAAAGAAGAGGAAGAGAAAAAAAAATATTCCTGGTTTTTTTCTCTCTCTCTTAACTCGCGTCTAGAGATGAATAATCAGATTTAATTATCCTCGCCAGTTAGACATGTTTGATATCGCGTATAAATTAAACCAAAATCCCTATAACGATTGCATATTTCTAGTCATTAATTCAGCCTATTAACAACGATTTGGATGGTAGAAAAGATCTTCATCTTCTCTTTTACGTCAAGAGATGGCTGCATGATAATTTGTTAGTTGCATAAATTCGATTTAAAAATCTAGTTTTTTAAATTTATTGGTTGAATATAAAAAAAAGAAGGAAGAGGAGAAAGAGAAGGAGAAGAAGGAAGGGATTTAATTCTGTAGGGAGCAGGCAAATGGAAAAGAACTTGGTTAAAAAAAAGAGACCATTCTGACGTCAAAGTTTTACGATAACAAAGTCATACGAGTCAGAAACACTTCGCTTGGTTGGACTTTCGCTTTTCTCTTTTCTAACTCATTGCTTCAACTTTTAGTTTCCTTCTTCAATCAACAATATTTCTATTCTTTGCATGTTCACCGACAAAATTATATTTTTATATAAAGAATGGATTCGATTGCAAAATGCAATTTCTTTTCTACTTTTCCAATTTCTAGTAAGGAATTTTTATAATTACGTGTCTTAGAAAAGTAGGATACATAAAATAAACAAACCACATATGTGTACTTTACCATGTTATTGTTACGGAGTCCTTGACTAAATCCAACGACTAACTTATCACCTAGCTTAGTCGTTGGTCATAATAATAGTTCAAATTTGTTGGGGCATAATGGGCCTCCTACCTTATATTTTTATAGTTTGTTTTCGATCTTATCTTCTAAGTATACAGTAGAAGAATGTAGTGTGTTAGATTATTTTTTTTTTGTTGTAGTAAAATACAAATTTCTAGTTTCTTTTATCATAAACAGAATTGCTTATGACATTTCAACGTTAAGAAATTTGACTATGTTTACTATTTTCTTCCCTTTTTTTATAAAACAAAACAGAAAATCCGATTCTTTCCTTTCCTCTTCTTCTTTTATCGCTTTATTTTTCTTATAATTCTATTTGTTTTTTAGTTTTGTAATATTGTGTTGAACGTATTGTTTTCATTTCTAGCTAATTATATACCCTTTTCTAAGAGAAAAATAAAAAGAACATCACTTATTCTTTTATCGAAAACGTATTTAACAATGCTACTCAGTGAAGTTAAAAGTTAGATCTTCGCCATTGTCGACTGGTGGCTGTCTGTCGATTGATTTTTCTTCTCTTCTCCTCACACATTCCTGAGTAAACGTACGACAAAATCACCAGATTCGAATTCATCGCATAATGTACATAAACATTTCTTCCTGTCTGGATATTCTTTATTTTCTCTTCTTATTGAAAGGTGTTTATACTCTCCAAGAGTTTGTTTTTCTTTCACTATTATTCATATATAAATATCGATGAATATAAGTGAAGACGAAAATATCCTCCATATAAAGCTGTATATATAATATAGATTACAACAAAGCAAAACGTCGCTGTAAAGGGGGGTGGATATAAATAAAAAGAAGTCTGCAGTAAAGAAAAATGCAAGAAAACAAATTATTCTTTCGTTAAAAACGAATTTTTTTCGAAAAATTACTTCGAATGAAGCGGAAATATTTAATATTTAATCAATATTTTGCTATCGTTTCTTCTTCTCTTTAAGCGTAACGTCACAAAGCCCAGACAAAATAAGAGAAATTTTAACAAATACTTTTGATTTTTTTTTCTTTGTAAAAAAAGTAAGACTGAAATTCATATAATATCTTTTGAAATAATTACTTTATCCATTCGACTTAAATACACATGACAATGATGAATTTAGTTCGTAAATAAAACGAATTTCTACCCCCTTAAAATGTATTAAGACATGTTATTTATTATTTTCCAATGATTTTACTGTTATCTAAAAATACAAAAAAAAAAATAAAGCTAAATTAAATTTTTAAACTAGAAAAATAAATTAACAATAGAAAGAAAAGTAATTAACTTCAATTAAATAGAATTAAGTGCTTTCAGAATTAAAACCTGGCTTTTTATTATTACAGATACTTTAAAAAAACACACAAACACACAGTTTATAATGTTATAAAGCATTTTAAAAAATAATTAATGTTTATATTTAATCAAGTTTTGTTAATATCCAATTATTTGCTGTAAAAAAGATGTTTTTACAAGTACATAAGAAGTATAAATATATAGAAATACGTCCTGTTTATGTACAGTGTGAGAAGTGACAATGCATCATTGAAGCAGCATACTCGTTTCCTTACTGTCAATCCGTATGAGAATGGCTGTATCTGCTTGTTTGTGTACGAAAAGAGTGGACAAACAGACGTTGACCAAACAGCTGCGCCCGATCCATTGGACTCCCAGAAGGTGGACGGCATCTTTTGCACATACTTTGCTCTTCGTTCTTTTAATATTAAGAAACAATTATGTAGTGAAACGGGTGAAAGTTGGCGAGTCGAAGCACGTAAATTCGATTTTGTGTCTCGAGTTGCAGTTGTAAAAAGTCAGCAGGTTTTGTCGACGTGGTGTTTAAGATCCGTCCAATGTCGCCATCACGTTCGCTGACACGGCCTGATTGAATGGTTTTCAGCATTCGTCCGAAATCTAATTCGACTATACAATATTCACTCCACGCTCGCTAAACTGGAGCTGTTTGCTTCGTGATAAATGTGTGACAGTCGTTGCACACCTGACACATATGGCTATATCCCTGACATTCTCAACCTCACCACATTCAATTCTAGCACCCTTCTCTTTATCTACGTGATAGGCATTCATCTGACACGAATTTGTTGCATTCTTTGTGCTTCGTTTCCTTTCCTCCTCATAATTTATACAAGCCATTCCGATTTTTAGCGATTTTCTGCTCTTGTTAAGCTAGAAAAGATGATGACAGACTCGTAATTATTCATAAACCGCAACTTTCCTACTTATGTAAATGACCAGACTCGAATTTTTCCTTACTTTTCTTCATCCTAATATACACATAACGTTGAAATTTTAAAACTTTTGTATTCATAACGTTCGGGGAAGAGGATAAAGGGATAATAATCATCCATACAACATAATCTTCCATCTTTTCTTCCTCTTCCTCATCTATTGTAACGTGGTGTCATTTACATCGAATTTGCGACATACTTTGATAGTTTCTAAACCATAATTTATAAAAATTATTCAAAATTTTAGAAAATTTAAGCTTTTATCTGTCGAGTGGAGAAGAAGATAAATAGAATAATAATCATTTACTAGAAAGATCTAGTATCATCTCCTTACATGTAAGATGAGTATTTATATGGCACCGATTTGTGATATATTCGCTTACTCTTCCTTATCCTGGGATATTTAAAATATTAGAAAGTCCACATCGGTAGATAAGAGTTAAAGAGAACTATCATCTTTTATGTAGCAGAATCTTTCTCCTTGCGTATAAGACTGATATTCATGCGCTATACTTTGCCTGATTTCTTTCATCATCATAATTTATATAAGACATTCAAAATGTTAAGTAATTTTGCTCCTCATTCGGCTAGAAAAGAGGATAAAAAACAAACATAATAATCATTAATATACTCGAATGTAGCATCTCCTTTCGTGTTCATGTAATGCACTTTCATCTTTCTTCCTTTCGCTTCACGAATTTAATTTTTATAAATTATTCAAAGCTTTACCAGTCGAGAAAATATATAAAATTATTCATATATATATAGAGAGAAACCATCTCGGTTCTTTTCCTCTTCTTGTCCGAATAATGAAATCCACTCTGCTCCACTTAGTTATAGGGCCTACCTCTTATATCACTTCATTATCGTATAGGATTTTCAAAGCCAATTTTCTCAAATTCTTAAAATATTCATCATAAACTTTCACCTTCGCGCATCATCTTCATGTAGTACTTATCTGCATCCTTTTCCAGCATCCTTCATCATCATAATTTATACAAGCCATTGAAATTTTTAGTAATTTCGCATCCTTATCAGCTACCGTAGATGATAAAGAGTATCATAATCATTCATAGAACAGAATGGAGAAGACACGACTGGCCAGTATGTCCATCCGGTTCAACTGGCATACAAACATCTAATGGATATTTAATTAGGACACCGTCCATGTTTTCTGCACTCGCGTCATGTCTAAACAGAATTTATTGCTCATCTTAATTACTATCCATTAGTCGGTGTCTGTGCAGGACTCGTAATGATTCTCAATTATACGTAAGCAGAGATAGGAACCGACCGAAATCGTTGATGAAGTCAAGATGCTAGTGATATATGTTGTAATATTGCAAAACTGATGAAATGCCCTCCTTATGCTGTTGACATTCAATCTGTACTAACTGCTTTCGGATCGATTATGATGCTTTTTAAGCGCATTTAATGTATAGAACAATTTTCTAACTTATAATACCGATTACTAATTGATGAAAGCAGCTTAATATTATTGTAGTCGGGGCACATTCGATGATAATACAAGACAAACAAACAATGCAGGTATGATAATGAAGCTATTAGCTATTCAGTCCAGCATCGGTTGTTACACGCATGAACATGCAAAATTACTATTCCTAATACCCGATAAGTACATAGTTAATAGGACAAAGAGAGAAACTTAATTACGAAAAGTACACGTCCCAATTTCTAACGGCGACATTTTTTTCTCCTATTCTTCTTTCTTTTATCTCTTACTTACGACGTTTCTTTTGTTCTAACTTTCTGGGCTGAAAGAAAAGAAACGAAGACAACAGAGCGTAGATACAATACGTCTCCCTCCCTCTTCCCAATTACAGAAAACAGTTAATTCGCTCTTCTAAGACGATAAGCAATGAAGATCAACCGTTTGCAACTCATCAATCAATCGATCCGGGGATTGAAAAACCATTCGAGACGAAAGAAAATTTGGATTAGAGCCGAACCCGCACCTTCTAAACGGCACACGTGTCCGAATAACTACACCAGATTGTTGGAACCACCACCGAAACCATACTTCAATTAACTGTGACTGGGATTTAGACCAACAGACGACATAATTAGGACTTAAGAAGGACTAGACTTAAGTGGCCATTAAACCTTTGCTAATGATAACAGTTTTTTTCTTCTTGTTCTTAACTAAATCCTTCTTTCCTTACAAATCCTGGCGTGTGCTACTTTTTCTCCACTCGATAACAAGCGCTGTTTCTGCAACTCCAGATTATGAACACAGGCAATAAAGAGGCACGTTTAATCTCGAATATTATTAATTAAAGCGATTAATCTGTTTATGATTCTACTTTAAAAATCGATAGAGAAAGAAGAAGAATTTTTTCAAAATTCCCCCCCCCAACAAACCGAGTCCTAACATCATAGAAACGTTACAACCAATCAATAAAGGAAGCTGTTTTCACTGGTAAACTTCAATATAACCTCGTCAAAGAAGCCATAAAAACCATATCCCGGTTAGGAGTAGCATTTTTAATATCACGAACTGAGAAAATGAAAATTGTTTATTTAGAGCAGAAAGAAAATATCAAAAAGAACACGTAGAAAGGGATCCTTTTATACTTAGAAATAGCTTTAAGTGAAAGAAGAAGATAGAAAGAGCACAATCGATGTGTAGTAAATTAGTTCATGTTCAAATTGGAAGTAATTGGTATCCTGGTGAGGAGCAGTGGTCAGTTGATATCTCCTCCTCAGTTACTGCTGATTCTTACTGTCATTTGTTTTATGTGACCACATTAGTTTCTCTTAGTCACTTTCCTTAACGAAGATAAGAAAAGGTAATTAAATTACCCATCAAATTGGCAGGAAAATTATTGTAAAATTTCAAGATATCATCTGATAAAACGTGCGAAAATAATAATTAACTAACGTCTTTATGGGTACTTAAAATATAAACGGTTATCATTAACTCGATGGGGGAGAGATAACTCCGTTTGTTATCGATATTTAACTCAAAAACTAAGTTTTACTCTTTGAAATTTTCCTATCTTAATTCGTATTTTCATATTTTACACTCACTAATGATACGAGAAGTGCATTACTCATAGGCTCAAACTATGTTTATGAGGATGTTAATGACGATACGATGATGATTACAATGAAGAAACGTGTTTTTTTTCTTTAATAAGAGGAATTTTTGTGGAATTTGGATAATAATAATCCTATTTATCTCGCAACTATGAGCAATACAATCTAACTATGGATAGAATTAGTGAACAAACTTGATTTAATATATCAATATTGATAATTTAATTAACAAATCGATTATACCGGTAGTCTCATGTAATTTTGAGGAGGATTCGCCTATTATCCTTCTATGGGGATAATAGGAATAATTATTATAAGTCCTATAAAGGCTACGATACTATGAGGTTTAAAGTGTAAAGGCTCGAGGGATTCGATTCCGTTGTTAATCCTCCGAATTAAAATTTTAATTATTTTGATGTTTTTAAGTAGAATATAAAGAAAAAAAAATTCAATTTAATTCTAACTAAAGTCGGGTTTTTGTTAAAGGAAACGTAGAAAAAGTAAATGAAACCCGCTCACAGAGAAAAATAATCATTGAAATGATCAAGAAGAGGTGGAAAAAAATAGACAAAAATTAAACAAAAGAACGGTTTCAATAGGGAATAAATATTAATGAATGGCAGAAAAAATATACAAAATAAATAGAAACGATGAGGTTAAATTAAAGATGAAGAAGAAGAGGGGGAAAAAATCATCTTAATCAATTCTAGAATTTTATAAGGCCACATTTCGGATTCGTTATTTTTTTTTTCGTGAATCAAAATTTGAATAAGGGAGTTTAAATTTACAAGTATTCTCTATTTACGATAAAAAAAAGTGATATATGTTTATATTATATTATTTATGGAAAACAAAATCCCAAGATTGTGGATGGAAATAAGATCGGGACGAAGGAAAAAAAAACACTAGAAAGACGAAAAAAAAAATCGAAATATAAAAAAGTGCTTGTGGTTGACAGGACAGAAAATTTAGAAGTAAACAAAAACGCCAAGATGCAAGTAGTGTTGATGGATGGTCAACACCTGAGATACCTGTGGATATTTGTAGAAGAAAAACATTAAAAAAAAAAGGCCATGTTTGATTTATATTTAAGGATAAACTCCTGACCTCTCCGGTTACACGAGAATATTGAATTTTTCTATAAGAATAAGGAGTAAAATGTAGAATATTTTCTAAAATATAAAATAACAAAAAGTTTTTCCAGCAAAAGGAAGAGAAAAAATAATAAAAAATAAATTATCTTAAAATCGTTTGGAAAATATCATTTTTCTATATTATATATGGAATTTCCAATTATAAACCGGAGGAAATTTTATTTTTAAACAAGAAATTCTATCAAATAGTAGCTATACCTGAACAAATATACGCATATATACTCGTATGTATATATAGGTTCACTTTTCTTTTTCTTTTTTTTTTTTTAAATTGCCAAATCAATAATTTTATCTTCTCACTCTTCCTTTCTTTCTCTGTATAATTAATAGAATTTATAGATTTTATAATAAACCAAGCGGAATTCGTATGTTGATAAAAGAATAAAGCGTTACTCCCCTGATAATTAGACTTCACGGCAAGACACAATGAAAATCTAAATATCTTTCTGAAAGAAAAATAATTACAGCTAAATACCCCTGATTTTTATTTCATTTTTTAAAAAAGATTCTTAAATTTATTACTTGTACTTTGATAACTAAAACAATTTTCTTTGTGTTAAAAACGTGTTTATCGACGACATCCTCCCCCCACTCCACGGTGGTCATCAGCAGACTCGTGACGTTTAGGTATATGAAAACTATCAGTGACATCATATCTCATCAAAACGACGTTTAGATGCTATTTATGAGT